ATTACTACTGACACGGACATCTAATATGTACAGGCGAGCGCCAAACATGTCGCCCACCAAAATACAATGCTTTGTATTTTTTCCTTTTTTACTCGGAATCCGCGGCCCGTGGTGTGCCCGTCGGCAAGGGGCATAGCTTCACCAGGGGACGCAGGATCGAGCCGTCCGCCACCCGAACCGTGGCGACACGCGGGACACCATCGATACCGAGATGTAGCGCTTCTACACGGCCGCGTTTCCAACGCAACGGGGACGCGTTATCGTCCTTGATAAGTACCAACGAGCCCACGGTGAGCGGGTTGGCGGGGATCCACCACTTGGGACGCTGCTGTAAAGTATGGAGATACTCCTTGTGCCAGCGCTTCCAGAAATCCTGGTGCATCCGCTGTACCAGCTGCCACCGGCCTAAGCGACTCGTCGCCAGCGGAGTCAGGTCGGGCGAAGGGACGGCCACGAGCGGCTCCATAGTCAAGAAATGTCCGGGCGACAGGACTTCCAAATCCAAGGGATCGGTGCTCAGCGGACAGAGGGGTCGAGAGTTCAAAACGGACTCTATCTGGGTAAGGACCGTCGTGAACTCCTCCAACGAAAGGATTTGGTCCCCCACCACTCGTCGAAGGTGGGTTTTAAACGATTTAACATTCGACTCCCAGATGCCCCCGAAATGGGGCGCCGAGGGAGGATTGAAGGACCATTGGATCCTTTCTCGCTCCGCCGCGTGGCACATGTGCTGCTCGAGTTCTCGCGCTGCTCCCACAAAATTCGTTCCGCAATCACTATACAAGAGTGAGCAGCGTCCGCGACGGGATACGAAGCGTCGCAGCGCAGCGAGAAAGGAGTCTGTAGATAATGAAAGAACGACTTCTAAATGGGTCGCCTTAATTGTGAAGCAAACGAACAGGCATACATAAGCCTTGAAGGAGGAGACTCCCCGAGCTCGGCGGGGTACGATCGAGAACGGCCCCGCGAAGTCTACACCGCTGATTGAAAACGCTTTGACTGCATTAACCCGGTCGGCCGGGAGATCGGCCATAGGAGGCTGGAGAGCGCGAGGATTTGCTCGGAAGCACATGTAGCAATCGGCTAAGACGCGGCGGATTGCGCGATGGACCCCGATTATCCAGAATCGCTGGGCGAGCAAATATTGGAGCGTGCGTCTCCCCGGGTGCAGATGCGTACGATGTGTCTGCTCGATGACGAGCTCGGTAAGTCGGTGTTTGCTGGGGAGGAGCACAGGATGCTTGGCCTCAAGCGTCAGCCCCGAGTGGGCGAGTCTGCCGCCCACCTTGAGAACACCCGTTGGGTCAAGAAAGGGGGCAAGTCTAATAAACGGTTTGGGCAGCCTCCTCCCGGTTCGAAGTTGATCGATTTCTTCACTGAAGGAAATCGATTGGACGAGTTTAACTACAACTAGTAGCGCCGACTGCGCCTCGAGTTGATCCACGGCCAAGGTCGCGGGCACCGACTTGGCCCCGGATCGACGAGTGAATCTTAGAAGATACGCGATAATCCTACAAATCTTATCCAATGACGAAAACTTATCTAATAGCGAAAGTATAGAATGAGGGGGGTCGCAGGCGACGAGGGCTGTGATCCGCTCCTCCTCGCATGGGAGAGTTTCCTCAGAGAGTGTCGGCCCGGTGCGAGATTCGAAGTCTATGAGCCACTCAGGGCCTCTCCACCACAGTGAATTGGCCACGAGTTCGCGAGGGAAAAGCCCACGGGAGCAGTGATCGGCTGGGTTGAACTCGGTGGCCACATGACCCCACGCCGAGATCGGGATCTTGTCCTGTATCCGAGCAACGCGGTTGCGAACAAAGGTCTTCCATCGATGCGGGGAAGAGCGGATCCAACACAGGGCCACCCGGGCATCGGACCAGGCGTACTCGGCGTCGATTTTCATGTGTCCCTGCAGGACCCGGCGGACGTACGCGAGCAGATTCGCGAGAAGTACCGCAGCGCAGAGCTCTAAACGGGGAAGGGAAATAGCGCGCAATGGAGCCACCTTAGATTTCGCACAAAGTATCGCGACCCCGGTCTCCGCCGGAGCGACCGTACGCAAGTACACGACGGCCCCATATCCCTGCTCGCTCGCATCGCAAAATCCATGCAATTCGTGCCGAACGTTCGCGCCCGAGGGAAAGGTACGGGGTATTCGCAGGGGAGCCAACGCGTCGAACTCCGACTTATATCGTTCCCACTGATGGCGAACATCTGATGGGGGCTCGTCGTCCCACTCGAGCTTCAAGGTCCACAACCGTTGGATCAATCGTTTTGCGGTGAAGGTCAACGGCGCCAAGAAACCCAATGGATCAAATATGCGTGCTACCTCCGACAGTATCGTTCGCTTTGTGCATCCTCGCGTCAGAGAGTTTAGCTGAAACCCGAAACTGTCCGACTGCGAGTGCCAACGAAGACCCAGAACCTTAAGCGCTTGATCGTCGGCCGACTCAAAGGAAAGCGTCTTCTGACTGCAGATTTCCGGATCGAGGCCACCCAACGCGGCGGGGTGGCTACTCGCCCACTTCCGCAACTCAAATCCAGCACTCCGAAAAAGCTCGAGCAATTGATCGCGGAGCGCAACAGCTCTCTCAACGGTGCGGACACTGACGACGACGTCGTCCACGTAGAGAGACTCGATCAGCGCCGCGTACACCAACGGGTACTTACTCCGATTGTCGTGGGCCAATTTGAGCAAACAATAAATCGCCAGAAACGGAGAGGCCGTGGTGCCGAATATGACCGTCGTGAGTATGTAATCGAGGATCGGTTCCGATTCCGAAAAGCGCCAGACGATGCGCTGATAATTGCGATGCTCCGGGTGGATCCAGATCTGCCGGAACATTTGCTTTACGTCCGCGGTAATGGCCACGGGCTCCGCGCGAAAGAGAAGTAGAACCGCGACTATGTCGGGCTGCAATTTCGGGCCACTGAGCAAGGTATCGTTTAAGGATAGCCCGTTCGGGCATTTCGACGAAGCATCAAAAACTACGCGAAGTTTTGTGGTCGCGCTGTCCAGCTTGTAAACCCCGTGATGGGGCAAATAGTACACGCGACCGTCCGCGGGGAAAGGATCGCTCGCCAACTCCATGTGGCCGCTATCTAAATAGTCCTGCATAAACGCGTTATAGCCCTCTCGAAACTCCCCATTAGACTTGAAACGACGCTCGAGAGCGCGCAGTCGATTGACGGCTATCGGTCGCGAATCTACGAACGTAGGGGGGTCCGAGATGAACGGGTATGAGACAACAAAGCGGCCCGAATGGTCACGATAGGTGGTTTGGTCGAATATCTCCCTGCAACGCCGATCCTGTTCGGAGCAAGGAATAGATTCGGGAACCTCCTCCAATTTCCAGAACTGCCCCACCGCGGCGTCAATCGACTCGATAGTGGTGGCGAAGGAGTGCACGGATTGCGCGTGAAGCGAAGGAGAGACCGCGCCCATCAAAACCCAGCCGAATGCTGTGTTAAAGGCGTCCGGTTCCCCGTTTTTACCGGTACGCCGACCGTCGCGCAACACGGACACAAAGGATTCCGCCCCCAGCAGAATATCGATGGAGCCGGGCAAATAAAATTCTGGATCTGCGAGGGGCAGCCCCCGCAGGTGATTCCACGGTTTGGAATCGACACGGCTACCAGGCAACGGCGAGGTGATGCGAGGGAGCACGGTGGCTTCCACCGGAAATCGAATGTCGGGCTCATCTCGCACCCGGATTACGAATGAGGTAAGGCCTCTAGTAGTGGCGGCCTTCGTTTCGCCGACGCCCATCACCGTCGCACGATGCCTTGCCCGAGCGTAGCCGCCCCGCTGAAGGCAGCTCTCCGAGACGAAATTAGCCTGACTCGCGCTATCGAGCAATACACGAACCGGGAAGGCGATGCCGTGAGCGTCGAGCGCCTCCGCACGCACCGTCGAGAGCAGGACTACGCGACTCGAAGTGCTCGCCAGGGAGACGATCGGGCCATCGCCCGTATCCGCCGGAGCCGCAGGGATGTCCGCGACTGGAGTGACCGCCGAGGCGGCCTCGAGCGATGGGGCGCTGGCCTGCCCGAAGTGCAGGAGCGAGTGATGCTTTGCCTGACAATGCCGGCAGGTAAACGGGCTAGAGCAATTCTTCAAGTTATGTCCCGCGCGGAGGCAGTTTAGGCAGAGCCCCGATTCGCGAGCAAAATTGTGCCGCTCCCGGACCGAGAGCTGCAGGAAAACGGGGCACTTAGCCAGCAAATGCTGCTCCGTACATTTAGGGCACGCGGCGTTTTGGACGACGAGCGAGGTGGTCGACGCGGCCTTCCTTTTACTCGGTTGCGCCGAAGAGCCCGACGCCGACGCGAGAACCGTGCAGTATCCCGCTAGAAATTTCGTTAACTGATCATACCGCGGCGATTCCACGGTCATGTGGGCCGCTTCGAATTTCTCCCGGAGCGTGGGAGTGAGCTTTTCGAGCAAATGATTAAGCAGCATAAAGTCCCACGCGTCGACCGGATAATCCAGCATACTCAGGGCGCGCGTGTTTTCGGTGAACACGTCCAGTAACGCGCGGAGTGATTCGGCGGAATCCGCAACCAACGGTTTGGCGTGTACGAACGAACGCCAGTACTGCGTCGCTAATTTGCGCCTATTCTGGTAGCGCTCCCAAAGAGCATCATACGCGATCTCGTAATTTTCCGCGGTCAATGGCAGGTTTCTCACTACGCCGAGAGCCTCTCCCGATAGCGAGGCCAACAAATATTGATATTTCTCGATCGCGGACACACCGCGATTTTCGTGGATCGCCTGGTTATACAGCGCGATAAACGACGGCCATTTGTCAAGATCACCGTTAAATTGAGGAAGGGCGATCTTCGGTAATTTGATCGCGGAGTGATGCGCCGGCGGCGCGCTCCGCGCGGATTCGTCGGTCTCCCGCGCGGGAACGAAGCTTTCGTAACGCCCTATTACCGCGAACCGCATTGTGTCAAATTCATTACGTATCACGTCTTCTTGGGCGAATTCTTCATCCGTAGCGTCTTGGATTATTTGGAGGTGGGCCTCCTCAAAATCCTGAACTAATTGCGCTACAGCCGGATACCGAACAAGGAAGGTTGGCCTCATGGCCACGTTGTCTACCGCGAGCATCGAATATTGATGCACCTCCTGCATGCGCCGAATGCACAGCTCGCGGCGCCGCGCGCTGCTACCTCGAGTCATCTTGAAACCGGAGTACAATTAAGATGTACCTGTCTCAAAGTGAAGGCCGCTCGTGAACGCGCAACGCTATGCTCGTCAACCGGTAGCGAAAATATATACACAACACACGAAACGAAGCAACGAGTTCGAAAGTCGAGAGAATTCAGGGGGGTGGCAGCCAGCACAACAAACGCAAGAAGTATGTCTCGCTCCGGAATGCGGAGACCAAATAAGCATGAGCGAAAGCCGCGCCGCTCGCCAAGGTCGAGGGGGGGCGGACGCCTCGAGTTCGAAAACAAAGGTTGATGACGATGGAAGTTCACGAATAGTCGATCGCCTTTCGCAATTAATTTTTCAAAGGCAAAATCCGCAACAATTATGCCACGATTAGCTCGAGAGATCGGAGTAATGGCGTGCGCGCGAAAACCACGAATACGCGGATATATTCGCCGCGACGTGCCGTGCGACGTGCGGACAAGATATATCACGCGAAGGGCACACCCCGATTATCCGATTTCAATGTCCCGATGGACCGCGAATGTTCGATTAATGAACCAAACTAGATGGTCGAATGATAGCACGCGCGCAAGCAATTACTCCTACGCGGATATCCCCGTCGCCACGTGCCGAGTGCGACGAAGGACGAGAGATATCACGCAGGGCAAGGGGGCACGCGCCGATCACACGATGCAAGAAAATTCGAATGATGGCCCGCACGCAGGCGAGACCACTATAACGCACGCCGTTTAGTCGAATGCAATGACAACGCTCATGCGGAGTTCCGATGAATCGCGCGAAAGGTCGGCGGAAGCTTCTAGACGCGAGAAGGAAAGATCCGGCTCGAAGGACCAATGCTCGGGGGGATGTTAATCGCCCCGGATTTGCGATCGGTCGATGAGATTTTGCGGTTC